CACAGTCAAGCTGTGCTAGTTGGCATAGTGATCCGGCAGCACTGGTTCCACACTAATTTAGTGGGGGGGGAGAGAGAGAGAGAGAGTCACGGGGGAGATAAAGAAAGTCACGGGCCACAGAGAACTGGCGGAGCGCCACAGACTTCACTCCCCATAGTCCCCATTCAGCTCTTCAGTATGTGTGTATTTTTTTGCGTCAGCGCTAACGCTCTGCGGAGAACCTAGCTCGGAGGATGTGTAATTTGCATTTCAGTGAAGCAATCAAGCATGGCCGTCATTTGCATGAGGCTAATTAGGCACGTGACAAAAGCCCTCTTTTCGCAGGCGATTATCGGAATATCGTGTGGAGGTCTGCCTGGAGCTCTCCACAAGTCTGCTTTTGAGACACCCAGCCTGGTTAAAAAGTCTCACGGGTGTGATTTTTTTTAAAGGGGTTGTTCATCCAAACATGTAAAATCTGGTATTTATTTACTCACCCTTATGTTATTCTGTATGACTTAAAGGGGTCATATGATGCGATTTCAAGTTTTCCTTTCTCTTTGGAGTGTTACAAGCTGATTGTGCATAGATAAGATCACTGAAGTTGCAAAGACTAAAGTCTCAAAACCAAAGAGATATTCTTTATCAAAGTTAAGACCCTGCCACGCCCCCCTAAAACAGCTCGTTCTATCAAGCCCCCACATATCTACCTCACTATGCATGTCAGCATATTCTGTTACACCAAATACACAAAATAATGATCTTTAAAAAAGCATCATATGACCCCTTTAAGAGTTTGGTGTTTTCCTCTAGTCAGGTTTCATATTACCCCTTTAATTATATTTTTATTGTGCTTTGTTTGTCCTTTTAAAGCAAAAAAAAGCCCCAGTCCTCATTCACTTTTTCATTATATTGAAAAGCACAGCCAGTATATTCTTTAAAAAAGCAGCTTTTTGTGAAACCATACAGCCATAAAGCTATACAGGTTTGAATTGACATGAGGTCGAGTCTTAGGTAAATTTTCACTTCAACATTGAATACTATTTTACTCTGTTAGCCTGCAGTAAAAAAGTAACATGCATTTAGAATGATATTACTGACTTGTTAACTTGCTTTGGTTGATGTGTTACACTTTTTTTTGACAAGGTTCATGTTCTAGGTGTAGCATGTTACTAAATAAGTTACTAAATACTCAGAGAATCCCAGTTTGTGTGGCAAATTAACAGCAGAGTTCTGTTGCCCTTTTGCAGTGCAGTAATGTTTTATTAGCCCACAAAGAGCTGTGAAACAAATACTGATTTTGTTTCATAGTGGATGTGAAAATCTCTGAGAGAAAAAGGGGAGAGAATCGTCTGTTTATAGTCCATATCAAATTGTAGCCACATAACTGGATTTTTTGCCGCCGTAATGCTAGAGTGTTCTGAGTTCAGGGACATGGTGTATGTTTGCTAAGGTGTTCGTGGTTATAGTATGCTGCTAGGGTTTTAGGTGGTTTCTAGGCTGGTACTCTGTGGTTTCTAGAGTGTTCTGGGTGATCACCTCATTTAGGGTGAAAGCAAAAACTAAATTTAGACTAAATACTAATACTAAATTTAGTATAATGCATGTAAAAATCTAAACAAAAAAACTAAAAAAACATCACTTTCAAATCAAGCAGCTTGGTGTTGGTCAACTTGGCAAATTTGAGCAAACAACTTGCTAAATCTGCGTGGGGAAATTTTTACCCTCACACAGAATTCATGATCGCATGGTTAGCTACCTATTGAAATGACTGGATTTTGTTCACAGAAATCACCGTTATTATAGTTTTTAATTTGTATTTATTTTCAATGAATGTTTTCAATTTAACTTAGTTTGTGTTATTTTTTTTTACGCTTAAATTGTTGAATTTACTTTAAGTTTTTTTATGTTTTGATTAGCAACACAACGAAATTAGCACAACACAACGGAAACAAGCCGCAACACTACGAAATTAGCACAACACAATGGAAACAAGCCACAACACAACGAAATTTCCTATGCATTGTGTTGTGGAGATTTCATTGTGTTGGACACTACTGAGCCATCGTCGATATCTAGTTTCAGTTTATATTGTTTTAGAATTGTAAGTATTTTAGGGCTGTGAAAATGTATGTACTTAATGTAACTTTTCTAAAAAAGTTTAGCAATATTAAATTAAAACTAAAACTAGATTTTTGGCAATTTTCATTCCATTTTAGTTTGTGTTGGAGTCATAAAAATTTATTTTAGTTTCTGTTTTTCCCAGTTATGTTCCATGATGTGAATAATTGCAAGATGAGTTGCTTGCAGGTTTACTTCTTTGGGTTACAAGTTCAAAAACACTAATTATGTAAAGAAAGCTCTCAAAAAACCTACCTAAGAGACACAAAAAGCAGAAGAGAGATGCTTCCAAGGGTGCAAAGAGAAGCCGTGTCAATTTGCAGTGACACTGTGAAAGATGGCATGAAAATACTTGTGACACTCTTGTAGCTGAGAAACTTGAGGGAAAACCGTGGGGTGTGTTGAAGATGAGCTTGTCCCAGCAGACAGTCAATCAAGAGGTCCTGCATGCTCAGCTGTAGTTATCACACACACACACAAGAGGGTTGCCTCTGCTGACTGTGTCGATGACTGGATGAGCTTTTTTGAACCACAGATCTGCATCTGTCAAACCTTGTGTAGCTTGGTGTGCGTGACTCCCTGCCAGCGATTGCGAATGCTGGCCTGGACCGAGTGGCAGAGGGCAGCTCATCTTTGTGTGTTTATAAAAGGAAGATCACAGGCGATTTGTCTTTGCCAGGAAGTCCTCCTACGCTATCTCCAATGCCTGTATTTACTGACAGGCGACGTGTTGAGCCTGCGCTCATATGTGTTGATTGCTGAAGTTGGCGTTTGTTTTGAGAGACTAGTAGCGCTAAGGCAGATAATTGCTCCTTGTTTGTTCTTTAGCACATGAATGAGTCATATTGTGTGTCCCCAGGTGAAGATTATTCAACATCATAATCTTCTCGACATAAAGGTCAGACCTAGATACTCGGAAGTGACAGTTCTCTGGTTTGTGTTTATTAGCTGGACTGTAGGGCAAAGAGCAGCTCATCGTTGTGTGTTTTATATTCTGGGAATTGTAATAGAGGGCGAATATGTTACGTGGAAACGGAGCCTTTCATTGAGCCCTGGCGGTCTCCACGTAATGAAGAGAATTATAGTAATAGTAGTTGTGCTGATCAGATTACGTTCCCTTTTGGATTCAGCTCACTCAATGACTGTTGTAACACTTCTTATGCGTGTTTTCAACATCTTCATTCATCACCGCTTAATGCCCACATCATCACACCCTGATCTTTCTTGTGAAGCCTCACAAACCTGCTCTGCCAAGTGTTTGGCTGTCTATCGAAAGCAGAATGCAATGCCACTTTTTTTCTTTGCAGGTATACAGTAACAATTCATGACCATTTATGTTAAAATGTTTAACAAACAATGCATTTGGCAGTATTATTTAAATAACAACAAAAAAAAATTGAGATTTTGTTCTCAAGAATAACTATTTGTTATCAATTTGAAGTAACTAAACTGTCACTTCTTTGTTTTTTTAATTGGTCATAAAAGGATTATACAATTATTATTCTTGATATAAGAATATGAAGATAATTGTTTAAAGTAATTATTATAATTAATATAATATTAAATGTTTATAGAAAAACTATTTATTGAAATATTTAAAGTAATATAGTCTTATTTAACTAAATAGTTCTTTCATCTAAAAAAAATATTAAAAACGTATTACTTAAAGGGGTCCTATTATGCTCTTTTACAAAGTTTTGATTTTGTTTTGGGGGTGTACTAGAACAGGCTCTCATACTAGGTTGTTCGAAAAACACATTATTTTTCACATATTTTACATTATTACAACACCTCTCTCCCCAGTCTGGCACGAACGGCTCGAAAAGTTCCTGGATCAAATGAAGCCCCGCCTTCTGAAATACGAAATGTGCTGTGATTGGTTAGCTGGGCCAGTGTGTGTTGTGATTGGCACCACTCGGTGTCATGAAATGAAATGTCATGCCCCTTACCCCCTTACCATAGCCACCTGCCAGCTTCAGTGTAATTATTGCGTCAAAATCAAATAAATTTGAGCGCGATTTAAACCCGGATGATTGTAACCACTCTAAGTTTGTCTGCCTTGGGAAAGCTAGCATGTCTCCGACATAGTGATAACACTCGTTGCCTTCTCTAGTGCAGCTCAACCAGGTCCTGTCCCATTCGTCGATATTTGTGATATCACAAATCCCGGAAAATATGCATTGTAATCCAAACGAGTCATTCGTTGTAGTTTTTGAAAAGTGATTTCTGTTGAATAAAATATCTCCTTTTGAATTGGACTTTGAGCCTTGTAACTTTGCAGATCTTTTTTATGCTCAAACAGCAACATTACAGACTAACTAAAGTTGAAAAAGTGAAAAAGCATAATAGGACCCTTTAAAGGATACCTTTAAAAAATATTAAGTGATAACTCGAATCACAAACCATCCAAAAAAAAAGAAAAAGAAAAACAATTTATTCAAATGGATTTTCACAGTGCAATTTGAGACAGAAAATGTCAACATGCTTCATGCTACACTGTAAACTAACAAGTTTAACAATGCAAACAATATGTAACCTTTTTATTGTTTTCAAAAACAGCTGTTTTGCATTGCAACTAAAGTTGGGGGGGAAAAAAATAAAATTTGGGGTAGGAGTAAAATTTGTGGTCCACTATCACATTTTACATCTGTAAAATCAGTGATTTAAAAAAATATAATAATGTGCGAATAATACTGTTGAATTCATACTCCAGTTGCGCTTTATACAAATACTAGTCCTCTTCACGTTCACCCTCTCCACTTCCCTGTGACCTCACTCTCCCCTGGCTCTGTTTTTAGATGAGTGCTAATACTGCCCATCATTTGGAGCGCTGCTGTATGTGTGAACTTCCTGCTGTTATTTTGGCATGCTTGTTTCCCTTGACATAACCCTTACTGCAGTTATGTAGTGACAGAGTTGATGCAGAGTGACCTCCATAAGATCATCGTGTCTCCACAGCCCCTGAGCTCTGACCACGTCAAAGTCTTTCTCTACCAGATCCTCCGAGGTGAGACACACACACTAAGCCCTTCATTTCAAAATTTTATTTCAAAAGCTTCACCCTCAGATTTCAGACACACATTCTCCATGCTGAGTCTTTCTTCACCAAATCTCATGGGTAGAGAAACACACAGACAATCACACACACCTCTCTACTTCGTGTTCCTTACTATCATATTCTCACAAAAGAAAATGAGGAGGAAGAGACGGACCACTCGTAGTGTATGAATACAAATGGGAAAACAAGAAACAGTCACCTCTTTGATATTGTGTTTACTACAGGACAACTGACAGGTCTTAAAGAGACCAGTTAACCTAATTCCCAATGAATCACATGAAACACATAAAACTTCAGTGACACAAAGCTTTATTACATCTTAGAGTAAAAATGGCACCATAGCGAACCCAACAAGAAACCTGTACAGTGTAACAGCGCAGTCTGCTTCATATCAATACAGTTTGTGTCCACAAAATATCTTTAATGGCTGATGTATATGTTGTGTCCACAGGATTGAAGTATCTACACTCAGCTGGCATTTTGCACAGAGACATTAAACCCGGTAACCTGTTGGTCAACAGCAATTGTGTGCTTAAGGTTAGTGAAATACTAGTCAAACTATTATTTTGTTGGAGATTTTTCCTATGTTGAAATTTTGTATTTTTCTGGTACTTTTGCTTCAGTGGTTATATGTAATTTATTATTTCAGAAATTGACCATGTAGTTGAACTCTTAAGACAGTTGTTTACAGGATATACATTTTTTAAAAGTAATTTAAAATCTAGCATCTATCTTATTAAACCATTTTTCTGTTTATATGGTTTTCACAAAGCATTATAATTCAGCTTTGTCATTACAGAAATAAATTATATTTTCAATCGTATATTAACATATAAACAGTTTTAAACTGTTTTTAGCATTTGTTGTTTTTTTGTTTTTTTTAGCATTAAGGTCTTTGCACATTGAGTCTGAAATTCTCGTCCAAAATGTTCACACGTTAAAAAATAAATACGACCTCACGTTGTCAATCACGTTTACACACTGCCTCCGAAACTTTCGTCCGTCATACAAAAATTCGGACCAGGTTCGATTTTCTGTGTTTTTGCATCCGTAGCAAGCATTTTGATAGGAAAGTATGACAAATATGAAATAATCACAGGCGATACATCGCCGATAATGAACACAATATTGCGTAGCTTGTCAGTGAACTACGGCTCTTCTGCCATTCTCCTCTGTCTGCACAGCGTACCTGAACGCGCTGATGACGTATCCTGTCTGCGCGAAGCGGGTGC